TAATCGTTTCCTTATCCTATGGGAAAGTAGTTATTATAATTGATATATATGAAGTGATTTTAAATGATGCCAAAATATTATTAAGAAGACTTCATTTTTAAGAAGGGTTCATTTTAAAAAAAAATCACACATGAATTAAGGTTATGACTTATGTTTTAATATATAACTAGATTTCGACCTGCGCAACCGTGCGGGTATTTTAATACGAAAATATTTGAAATTATATAATAAAATTTATCATTAAATAAGTATAATTTGATTATGTATGCTATCCTATTTTATAATAATTTTATGTGACTTATAATATTATTAATATAAAATTTATAAATTTGTATTTTTGTAACAATTTTTAAAAACATTATTATGTAACATTACTAATTTATATATTTTTATTGTTAAATTTGAAATATATGTAAAATTTAAATTAAATTGGAACTATATAATACATAAACAAAATTTTGGGATATTTTTAAAAGTATTTTACATAATTTTAATTTTTGTTTATAAATAAAAAATGAATTAAAATTTTAATTATATTTTATGATAATTAAAATTTTAATCAAATACTCTTTGAAACTATATCTTGAAAAGATTCTAAAATATTTTTAAAAGATTTTGTTATAAATTTTTTATAACTATTTACTTGTATTTCAAACAAAAATTAAAGATATGAAAAGATATTATAATGTTATGTAAAATTTTATAAAATTCTAAAGATGGTCCAAACTAAAATATCACACATGAAGTGAGTCATGACTTCTCTTTTAATAGAGAAGACTAGGTGATTTTCCCGTGCTCATGCACGGGCATAAATATTTATAAAATAAATATATTATAATAGTTGATTGATATTTACTTTAACTTTTATATTAATTTATAGTTTTTATGTATAATTATATTAATAATATTATATTATTTTAGTTATATATAATTTTAGATATATTATATTTAGTTAGTTTATCATTTGGATATATATATATATACATATATTAGATTCTATCTATTTCTCTGAATTCAACTATAATCTTTTTTATTCTAAATATCTTAAATTTTTGATTAATTGTTTTATTTACATTTATGTTGGTTGTTATCTTAGAAATATAAGTATATCTTAGTAAGATTATGTATTTTAATATTTTTTGTGCTTAGAACGAAAAAAATAAAAACTAAAGTGTCTGATTCTAAATTACATACATAAGTAATAATAAATTTTCAGAAGCTTATGAAAACATATCAATATTTACAATAATTAAATATTTTCAAAATTTTAAATAATTTATGCCTTGGATTGATTGGATGGTAAACTGAAATTTATTTTAAATAATTTTTAAAATAAAGAATTATAATTTTCTTAAGTATTTTGATTATGGTTATATTAAATTCCACAAACATAAAAACAGAAAATTAAACATCAAAAGAGTTATTAAGAAAACATATTATTTTAACTATTAAAATATAATATATCTACCTCGTTAAATTATATAGTGTTATGATATTTTAAAAGAATTGTAGTTATCTGATTAAAAGATGTTTACCATTAAATTTATTTTTAATTTTGTTTTTAATATCTCTTAAAATATGCAGTAAAAATGTGATTATTTTTGAGAAATTATATTATATAAGTAAAATATAATTTATATTTTTTGCTGTAACTGTAAGATATTATAATCAAATAAATATACTAATTATAATTTTTTTTTTGTCAATTAAACATATATCAGTTTATGTTACTTAATTATTTTATGTAATCATCTAATAAAATAGACAAATATATACAAAAACTAATTACTTTGAAAATATATATTTTATTGTTTAAATTATTTTTTTAAAGAAAAAATATTTCTTTTTCTAATATGAAGATTATTTGTATGAAATTTGTTTATGAAAACACATTATATACAAATATTGTTTTTCATCTAAGAAGATATAGATATAAAGTATAATTACTTAAAAAGTATAATTTATGTTATTTAAAATATATTTAAGTTAAATATTACTATTTTGTAAACTTTCCTTTTTATGAAACCATATTATATATATACTTATTTTTCGTTTTTAAATAGTTTTGTAAATTTTAGAAATATTTTTTTTTTGTTTTATATTGTTATTTGGAAGATTTTAAAAAGGAAATAATAATATTTAAATATATTTTTAATTCATTAGGGGTATCATAGTAATCAACCAGTGTGAGAGTTAACGTGAGCGCGACACCTAAGAAAGTGACTTCTCAAATAATATTATAGAGATATGACTTATGTTTTAATATATAAGATAATAACCTAATCTCTTAAACATTTTCTCTCTATTCATCATCATCCATCAAACATCATCAACCATCATCACCACCGAATCTTATATCTTGAGATGGCTCTTCTACCTTCATAGTCATCTTCTAGGTTCTGATTCTCCGATCTCTGGGTTCTCGGTGAACCTCTGGATTGGGTTTATCTATCTACACTAGGTTTCCTGTCTCATATTGCTTCAATTGTGTGTCCGTTTATGCTCTCATTGACGAAGAGAACTTATGTATGCACAGAGGATTATCACCGGAACTGGAAATTGGGGATAGGTTCGAGAGATTCAAAAGCCTACAAAGATTCCAGTTAACTGTCTTCTCCTAGAGGCCAAACTTATAACCAATTCTGCGGGTTTTTATTTTTATTTTATGAGTTGCTTGACATTAGTTGAGATACCTTTATGATTTACTTTGGTATGTTTGCAAGTAGTGAAAGATGGGTACAAGTTCTTCTGAAAACAAAGATTAGTCTTGATATACTATGCTTCTAACTATGGTGAGGAGTTATCATTAAAGATGTTTTTGTCTCCTAAAGTAGGATTAGTGAGGTTAAGAAATTAAACCAGCATTTTCATTGGCAGAAGCTTCCATCAACTCTACTCTTCTTATTACTTCCATATTGCCTTTTTACCACTAGCTGCAAACAAAACATTGAAAGTAGCTTTACCTCTTTTGTCTGTTCATTTTTTCAGTCATGACTCTCAATGTGAAAATCACATTTTTTATTAGAAAAATGTCGGAAGCTCAAGATTAACAATGTGATCTCTAGCCCACGTGGTGACTCTCTATAAGAATCACCATAAAGTGTAACGAATCAGCAAATGCTTTCTAGTAGTGCAGCACAAGTTCATTATCATGAAGAGAAACATAGGATCTTACTCACTGGTAGTGCTGTGACTGTAATGAGAGGGACTTTTACGGGGAAAGTTGTGGTTCATGAAACTTATCAGATTGTAATAATGTAATGACAACAATAAAACGACATTGATTGTTTTTAGTGCGATATGCTTAATAATCAAATCTCACCTGAAAAAATTAAAGATAACAAGAATTTGTCTTCTAAACACCAACTCTCACTACAAGATAGATCTTTACAATTAATCTGGCTTTTACAAAAAGAAACACCAAACTTTGGTACACTGCAATATGCTTATCAACCACCACGGCCACCTGGTGAAAGCTTTCTTGATACCAATGAGAAGAATAAAATGATGAGAATAAGCTTGACAACGAAAGAAATGGTAAACAATGATGAAAAAGGTAGAGAAAATATGCTTAATTTGTTATATGGAGTTGATTTTTCGGTTTAATAATTGGTGTGTCTTCGACCAGCAAAGTCCCGAAATCTAACACTTAGGTGTTCTAATGCGGTTGGATTCTTTCCTTCACGGCTTTAAGTGAGTTTTTATACTAACAGCTACACCTGCAATAATAAGAGCACCTTTAACTCTAAATGGAGATTTGGGGTTCTCAATCTTTTTTTATTGTCTAATTTAAAAAAAAAAAAAATTAAAAAGAATTTAAAAATAACCAATCATGGATCACCATGTTTCGTAGGCTTGCAAATAGTATAAGAATTTCGCTCTTGCGGAAGAAGGGATGTGTTTTGAAGAAAATGATGGACCCTGCCTCTTAGAGCATGTACATTGAGGTTCATAAGGGGTTTATAAGGGGGTTCACACAGTTTTCTAGATGAACAGTGATAAATTTCTCTCTCCAAAAGTTCATCCCGGTGAACCCCAAGATGGTGGAGTTCACCACGTGTCGGAAGGAGATTGGTTCAATTAATTTTTTTTTTCTTTTTTTAAAAAAAATCTGACAAAAAAGAATAATAATAAAATATTACAAAGATGAATCCCTCTTGGGAATCATTGATGTACATACTCTTAAGTATCCATTTAAGAGGTGGATTAATGGTGCTCTAAGTCAATGCAGGTAGATACAAGCAGTCAGTGGTGACTAATGATTGCATTCTAAAATCTAAACAAGAACGTAACAGAAACGACTTGTGTTGCACAAGGAAATAGTAGATGAGACTAAAATCGATGCATACACAAGATAACTAAATTTTGAGTTCTATATAAACATATGTAAAATAATTTTAATACAAAAAATAAATTTGTAAAATTTTTTGAAATATAAGAATAATCTATCTAAATGATTAAATTGTAGTATTATTAAATATATAGTAAGATAAAATATATGGAAATTAAAACTTTAGAACTCATTTTTTATATATTTTGAATATGCTTTCTATTAATAATTTCAAACCAAAATATTTTAAACCAAATATTACAGAAATATATTGATATTTGTTAATATTATTTACAAATAAATTATAGATAACATAAACCATATCGAATAATACACAAAAAATTATTGTTATAAATTAGACAATATGAATCAGAAAATTATAAATATTTTATTTTATCTTATATATCAAATATACTGGACTATAAAAAAAATATCCTCCAATCCGCAGGGGTCAAGTTCTATAATAGACTTTTAATTTTACATACATTCCTTATAAATTCATATTCAAAATTGTAGGATTAAATATATAATATATCACATTCAAATTGAGTAAATAAATTATATATGTCACCAATTGTAAATATATATGTTACAATGTGATGATAAGACCAAATGCCATTTATGTCTGGGAATAAATCCAATTAATAATTGAAAAACTAAAAGACGATTGTCACACATGTGAGGAGGAGGGAGAAGCAGTAGAACTAAGGTTCTTGCGGACGTATTTGCGAGCCCAAACATGTTTGCCATCAATAGTAAATTTTTGCTTATTCCCTGGACTCACAATCTCTTCAATCTTCGATGCACATTCCATCTTCAACACCATCCTGGCAAACAATGGTTGTTCATTATCTTTGACTTCTTGCATTAGAATGGTTTCGATCACTTCTCCAAATTTTCTTGTAAAGTAAACCCAGACTTCTGATTCCGAAGTTGGATATCCTTTGGAAAAGGTCAGAAAGACCGTCCTATCATCTGGTTGAACCACCATGTTCTCAACCTCCGCCTCCGTGACGGTCATATCTGTTTCTTCTTGAACAGGAGGAGGTGTAGTAGGAGCAGGAGCCCTTTCTTGTTGAACACTTGAGATTACTTGCTGAGCAGTCAACCTACTAGGGCTTCCTTGTTGAAAACTCTGCCTAGTAGGGATTCCTTGTTGAACACTCTGCCTATTAGGGATTCCTTGTGGAACACTCAACCTAATAGGGGTTTGTTGTTGAACACTCAGCGTACTAGAGGTTCTTTGTGGAACATTCAACCTATTAGGGGATCCTTGTTGAGCACTTAACCTGATATTGCTCATCTCTTCAATAAGCTTCTCCCTCTCTAACGCCAACAATTGCTCCCTGTAGAACATCTCTGCCTTGGCGCATAAGTCATCAAAGGCTCGGCTGCAGATTTCATTCATATTCTTTATGACACCACGGAGCAGAGTTTCGCGGTTTTGGAGGACGTATCTGAGAGTAAGCCTGCCTCCAGTCAAACGCAAGAGCAAAGGTATAACCGAACCATCATCGTTGTTTGCAACGAAGATCGTTGAATAATCAAGGTTGTGTAAGATACTTAGACACACATCGACTTCGTTAGCCACAGCCTCGATGAGTGCGTCTGGTAATGCGACGAGAAACGGTGTTAAGTTGCGAGCGAACTTGATTTGCTCGAGCACAAAGAGAAAAGCTAACACTTGAGACGTTTGGTTCGTGTCTCGGTTAAGATCAAAAACGAGACGAGTGAATAAGGTTCTGTCGATTCTGTGAAAAGCATAGAACTCCTCACGTGTTATACCCACAATAGATGAAGGAAGGTCTGTAAAAGCCGAAAAATACGAAGAAGAAGAATCCATGAGGGTTTCTTATATTTTTTTTTGTGGCGGTGGTGCAGTGATCTTAGTTTCTAGACAGTTTATATAGATGAGACATTCAAACTGGTGAAGAGGTGCGATTTTTTCCCTATAATATGTTTTGCCTCGTTCATGTCTCTAATTAATTAGATTGAAAGAGGCTCTGCATCGTTTAGTGATACATCATGACCCTTCGATTATCCGCGATGATTCATCCCCCAACCCTAATTTTTTTCCTTTTTTATTTTTGTACAATTTTCATTTTCTTTCCTAATTTTCTTTCCTTTACGGAAGATCCATTCCTATGTATGTGTATGTATATTTATGTGTGTATGTAGCTTAAAGACCGACTACTATCTATATGTATATGTATAACTTAAAGATGTGCGTATATATAACCCAACGATCCATTCCTATATTTGTGTGTATGTAACTTAAATCTATAACTAGATTTTGACCCGCGCAACCGCGCGGGTGTTTGTTTTCGTTTATAGTTAGTTATATAAACATTTTGTTTTCACTTGTAAATTGGTATATATTATAATAATCATATATTTACAATATATATAGTAAATATTTTCAAACATAAAAATATTATATAATACGTGTTTTAATTAAATATATTATACATATTTTTCAAACATGTGTTTGTTTCCTTTTCTATAGTTTATTGTTTGTTAGATTAGTATTTCATTTTTCGATAAAGTAATATAAATAGAGCTTGATTAGATATTAATATACTTTAATTTGCAAAGATAATATAAACTTCGAAGAAGTTTTTGCTAAAAACTAAACTTATAACTTCATAAATTAATATTATAAAGAATTTTATTAAAAGGAATTTTTAAACAATTTCTTTTTTTAAACAATATAATTTAAAAATTTTACATAGAAATAAATTTATCTAGTATATATAATGTGTAAATTTTGTTAGGGTATATAAATATTCCATATTACTTGCGCGGTGTTTGTTTTCGTTTATAGTTAGTTATATAAACATTTTGTTTTCACTTTTAATTGGTATATATTATAATAATCATATATTTACAATATGTATAGTAAATATTTTCAAACATAATTATATTATATAATACGTGTTTTAATCAAATATATTATACATATTTTTCAAACATGTGTTTGTTTCCTTTTCTATAGTTTATTGTTTGTTAGATTAGTATTTCATTTTTAGATAAAATAATATAAATAGAGCTTGATTAAGTATTAATATACTTTAATTTGCAAAGATAATATAAACTTCGAAGAAGTTTTTGCTAAAAACTAAACTTATAACCTCATAAATTAATATTATAAAGAATTTTATTAAAAGGAATTTTTTAAACAATTTCTTTTTTTTAAACAATATAATTTAAAAATTTTACATAGAAATAAATTTATCTAGTATATATAACGTGTAAATTTTGTTAGGGTATATAAATATTCCATATTACGAATCTGTGATTTTTGTTAATATATTATGGATGCATTTAACTATTATTGACATATTTCCTTATAAATAATAGAAGATTCCTAAACTTATATCTATTGACATATTTAGCGTGACTAAGTTGGAAGGTGTGGGGTAATTTACCAAAACCAATTGTTAAGCGTATCTTTGTTATTGTAGATATGATTTTTCATAAGATATAATAATGATAAGATTATTAGATGTAACATGACTTTCTAGTAATAGTCCATTTTTAAAAAAATCATACATGAAGTCAAGTTATGATTTCTGTTTTAATATATAAGATATTATTTGCGAAGTGATTTTTCGCAACGGGTAAAAGTTGGAGCGGTTAATATCTATAATACCCTTAATGAATAAAATATAATAATTTCATACAAAATAAAAACGAATTTAAAAACTATTTGATTAGATAAGTAATTAAAATTAATAATAATCATAAAAATTATCCAAAATATAAATAATATGTATTTAAATAAGATAATTCCTATATATATTGTGTTGTTATCTGAAAATATATATTTTAATAAAAACTATAAAATACATAATTAAATATTAATCAAGTAAACATCTTAATTTTATATAATTAAAAAGAAAAATATTATTTTATTTTAAGATTTATTTTTAATAGTGAACATAATGTACAAAGAAATATATGTAAGAATGTTTAAATGAAAATATAAGTATTATTGGTTTAAAAAAAATAAAACATAAATAATACTTTATCATTATAATCTTTCAATTAGTAAAAAATGTATTAATAAAATAATTATAAAATATTTAGGCCCGCAAGTACGGGTAAAACACCTAGTTTGTGTGTATGTAACTTAAATATCCATTCATTCGTATGCATCCTTTCTGTTTATATTAAAATTCCAAAAAAAAAATATTTTGAACTAAATATGGGTCCGTGCGTTGCGCGGATTTTATTTGATGTTTTAATATTTATAAATATAAAAATAATAATTCATTATAGTTTTATGATTTTTTTGCATATGATGTGTGAGATTTATTTTAAAAATTAAGAATTCATTTGTCCATAAAAGTTCTGATTATTATTTATATTTTAGTAAGCACAGATTTTATTTAATCTTTTAATTTTACAAAGGACATAAAATAATAAATTATTTTATATTTTAGGATAATTTTTGTATATATTGTGGAGATTTATTTCAGAATTTAGAATTTGTTTACGCACATAAATATTGGTAAATATTTTTATTTTAATAATCATGATACATAAGTCAAATGTTTTTAAGAATTATAAAAAATAAAAAAAAATTGAAAATTAAATAAAGTCAATCAAGTCAATGATAATATCATACAATTGTCACTTCTTAATTTGTGATGATAAATCATAAAATAAATAAATAAATTATTTTATTATATATTGTATTAAGGTTGAAGAAGACGATCTTTGAGATAATTAAGAAATTCTTCTAATTTCATTTTAAGTATATGATATTTAATATCCTATATATCATTTGGAATTTTTATATAATTTTATAAACTTAGTTTCATCCCTTCAATATTAAACTCTACACACTAAATCCTAAATTTAGATGTTATGGGTTTTCTTATGTAGTATTAAAAATGGTATTCAAGTTATAGTATTTCAAACAATTTCTTTAGTTTTTTCCAGTTTTTGACTTTGCAATTTTTCCTATGTATACTTAATTTATAATTATTTTCAATTTACTTGTTTCTCATTTTCTACTAACAATTAGGTCATTTTATTAAATTTTTATGTTATTAAATAATTTTCTAAATTCATTTTAATGATATATTTTCATAACAACAGTTTAATAAAATAGATTAGAAATACAACATATTAAAACACATATGTAATAAGATGATGATGAAATATGATTTTTTTGACTAAACACATAAAACTCATCTACGTTGATAATAATAATAATCTAGTTTTTATGACCAAACACAAAAATATACCAAACATGTGTTTGTTTTTGTATAACCAAACACATACAAATACTAATATAAAGACCAATCATGACAAAATCCTATTTTTGATTTTTTTACTTAATTAGATTGTTTTGGTATCATGTTTATCATCAAAAGCTTTATGTTTAAAATTACTAATAAATAATTTTTAAATTTTTTTCTTTTTTCTTATCATTTTGCAAAATAAAACATTATAACTTAAAAAACAAAAATACTATCAAATACTTTTACATTTTTTTAAATATTTTAGAAAATAAAGATTACTATCATAAAATCATTTACAATTATCTTCTATTTAGAATTACAGAAAATTAGCTTACTATCAGATAATTATTTCAATACTATTAAATATTTGATTAACTAGTATTTAGCAATTCGTATCACTACTATTTTTACAGTTAGAGTTTTTAATTAAATAATTTAACAATCAGACATAAGCAATGGTACATAAAGGTAACAAATAGCATTGACATTAACTTAATTACAACAACATAAGTAATTTGAAATTCAAAAAAAAACACAGCATAACTAATTTTTTAGCAACTTTAAAACAAAAACACAAAAGCATAATAAGCACATTAACTTACGTACAATATCAAATATCTTCATTCCCAAAAGGCCTCGTACTATTAGAGTTGGACTTCTCTTTATATATTAGACATTCTTTGTCTAATTCTTCAATGTGAGACTTTGTTTATTATCTCGCATTCTCCCCCTTAAACTAAGGACCACATTCATCTCATGTGTTTATCCTTCAGCGAATCATCTTGGCACCACCTTGTACCAGATCGCATGGTTTCCTTTGAGAATGTTTCTCCCACAACATCACAGGTTCCATGATCTTCTGACTAGTTCTGTTATAGACCTCCTCTTCCTACTCGAAGAGTACCCACTCATCTCTCGAATGGTATTTTGGTCTTCTTTTCAGATTTCTCGTCAACTGCTCTGATACCAATTGTTGAGTTTGTGAAAGCCCATGTCCAACTCTATCTTATCTTATTAGTACGATATTGTCCACTTTGGGCCTTAGAGGCTGACCCGCATGGATTTACTTTTGGTTTCCTTCCCAAAAGGCCTTGTACTATTAAAGTTGGACATCTCTTTATATATTAGACTCCTTTTTCTAATTCTCCAATGTGGAACTTAGTTTGTTATCTCACATTCTCACCCTCAAACTAAGGATCACATTCATCTCGTGTCCCACAATTTATTTCCATGATCTTCTGATTACTTTTGCCACAGACCTCCTCTTCCTACTCGTAGGATCCTTTTCCATCTTCAAAGGTATTTCGGTCTTCTTGCATATCTTCGTCAAACCGCTCTGATACCAATTGTTGAGATTGTGAAACCCCATGTCCAACTCTGTATTCTTTGATTAGTACGATATTGTCCACTTTGAGTCTAATTGACAAGCCCACATGGATTTAATTTTGGTTCCTTTCCCAAAAGGCCTCGTACTATTAGAGTTAGACTTCTCTTTTATATATTAGACACTCTTTGTCTAATTCTCCAATGTAAGACTTTGTTTATTATCTCACATTCTCCCTCTTAAACTAAAGACCACATTCATCTCTTG